TTCTTACCCAGTACAGCTCAAGTGCCATTTCACTCCAGCCTGCTGGGCGGTCATGTTTATGTCACATCTGAAAGCATTTTGCTCCTATCAAAGCACATCAGCTTTTGCCTAATCACTGCCTTCTTCCTCATCACCACCCTCCAATACCTACACAGTGCAACAAGGTGCTAAACTTCAGAGAACCATTGAGTTCACTTTATACAAGTGTCTCTGGACTGGACATTCCTGGATGGGGGCCTTTCACAGCCCCTCCCTGGCTGGGTTACCAATCACTGCACTTACTGGGAGTCTACTGTGTGTGTTTGTTTCACTATTCTGTTTTTTTAATTTAAGGATTCCCTGGTGGCTCAGAGGTAAAGAGTCTGCCTGCAATGTCGGGGACCTGAATTCGATCTCTGGGTCAGGAAGATCCCCTGGAGAAGAAAATGGCAACCCACTACAGTATTTTTGCCTAGAAAATCCCATGGACAGAAGGGCCTGACGGGCTACAGTCCATAGGGTTGCAGAGTCAGATACGACTGAGCGACTTTACTTTTACTTTCAAAAGAAATACTATTCCAATGTATTCATTTAATTATTATTTAATAGACACATTCTGAGCTTCTAGTGTGTGCCAGGCACTAGTGATGCCAAGAGAGACAGCCTTGGCCTCAGTTTTCTCATCCATCCAAGGGGTTAACAACAGCATCTCCCTCACAGGGTGATCATAAGAACTGAAAAGAGACCATCCATGGAATGCTGTGGCACAGTGCTCAATAAATATTACAGAAAAGAAAGCTGCCACTGGATTTCCTGTCCTGCAGGTGCACCAGGCACAGTGAAGGGACTGAAGAAAGCTGGGAGACCCTGATCTCTGCCTAGGGAGGGGGTCAAACCGTCTCCACTCAAGGCTAGCCAGGACAAGAGCAGAGGCCACAGGGAGGGCGCACAGCCTAGGAAAGGAAGGTCTGAGAGTACTGGGTGAAGCCGGTGAAGGGCCCTTAAGCTGGGGATAAGCAGGCTGAAACAGAGTTGCCTTCTGCCTCTTGTTGTCATTCTGTCCTCCTACATCCCATGATGCTACCGATTGGCCTTCCGGAAAGATCCACAAATAGGCTGCAGGGCCCAGAGCCAAGAACATTATGTGGCAAATAAACTAAAGAAGGGAACTAGCAGCATGGAGTTCTTGGACTGGAGACGAGAAACCTCTTTTTCAAGATACTTTCTCCTATATTCTTCCCCAGAAAGAGAATTCTATCTACACAGAATTCTTCCACTACGTCCTACACTTAAAGATAGATTCTTTTCTTTCTTGTTTAAATTATTTATTTATTTGGCTGTGTTGGGGCTTAGTTGCAGCATGTGGGATCTAGTTCCCTGATCAGGAAGCGAACCTAAGCCCCCTGCATTGGGAGCACAGAGTCTTAGCCACTGAACCACCAGGGGAGTCCCTGGGTTCTTTTTATTAATTTTTATTGAAGTATAATTGCTTTACAAAGGTGTGTTAGTTTCTGCTGTACAGCAAAGTGAATCAGCTACATGTTTATTATACATATACACCCTCTTTTTTGGATTTCCTTCCCATGTAGTTAGTTCAGCACTGAGCTGTGAGAAGTTTCCTGTCATACAACAGTTTATTACTTAACCATTTTGCACATAGTGTAATAGCGTATAGTATATATGGCAATCCAGACTCCCAGTTCATCCCACCCTCTCACCCTTCTTTTTCCCTTGGTATACATACGTTTGTTCTCTACATTTGTGTCTCTATTTCTGCTTTGCAAATAAGATCATCTATACCATTTTTCTAGGTTCCACTGTATTTCTCTTTCTTACTTCATCACCCTGTATGACAGTCTGTATGTCCAGTCACATCTCTGCAAACATCACAATTTTGTTCCTTTAAGATGGCTGCTTTTCTAGGGAAGATAGGAGGAGAATATTTCCCTTACTCTTCAGCCTAGTGACATTCAGTGCCTGAGAGAAAGAGGCTCAGGCTGCCTCTTCCCAACAATAGTTTGGGGAAGGCCGATGACACAGCCATTTTTAGTTTCTGTAACTTGTTTTTGCTAGAAATGCCCACAGTTCTCTGTAAGGTAACTGTGTCTGGTGGATTTCAGTGGTTGATTTTAGACTTTCTCTGGGTACATTTTTAGCTGTCCAAAATCCCCTAGAAAACAATGACCTCTCTTTTGCATAATGGAGCTCTGAGCTGCATCATCTCTGTGGGTTTTTCCTACAGTGGGAGTTGGCTGCTGTGCAGAGAGGAGGGAGCCAAACTTTTGCGCAGTCATCATTCCAGAGATCAGTTTGGGGAAGGTGGGCAGCAGGAGGGAGCTGGGAACTGCAAATTTCTTGAGTCTTTAGAAAACGAGAAAGTTGCTCTCCGGGGTGGGGGTTGGGTGGGGATTCCCCTTGCCTTTTATTGTTGACTGGACTTCCCTGGTGGCTCAGACGGTGAAGTGTCTGCCTACAATGCGGGAGACATTGTAGGGTTCAATCCCTCCGTCGGAAAGAGCCCCTGGAGAAGGAAATGACAACCCACTCCAGTACTCTTGCCTGGAAAATTCCGTGGACGGAGGAGCCTGGTAGGTTACAATCCATGGAGTCGCAGAGTCAGACACGACTGAGTGACTTCACTTCACTTTATTGCTGATCAGCATTTCCAAAACTGTCTCTGGCAACAAAGGATTAGCTAAATAGCACAAGCTTAGAGGAAATACAGGAAAAGAGGTGTGGGGGGTTCCCAGGTATCCATGAAGACTCACTCAGACTGGTCTCTGAACCTTAGACCCAGAAAGAAAAGGCCTCAGAAACTTCTCTTGACTAAGCCCCTTGACTAAGCCCCACTGGCAGGTGGAGCAGATTCTAGCATTCTTTGGAGGTTTCCGGCCTGACGTGATTCTGGAGGATTAGGTGACAGAAGCTCTAGAGGCCTGATTCTAAATTTATGCTAAATTTGTCAGTCCTTTTCAGTGCCCCACCTCCTTGGAGCTACAGCCAGGAGGCCTAAAATCTTCCATGTTCCCTTCTCATCTCTTTGTTTACTGCATTTTATAGAAACCGCATCATCATTTCTTTCCTCGAATCTCCTCATTTTACATATAAGAAAATTACCACTGAGAAGTTATTTGGGTTAGTACCCCACACGCTGTCAGGAGAGTAATTGCCAGAAACCAGAACCAAGAGCCTCCTATTTTTAGCCTGGGCATTTTGAAGGTGTGGTGGGAGCACAAGGTGACCCATCAGCTAAAATGGATCAGCCCTCTTATACCTGTGCCCTTAGGCCCAAATAAAGACCAGGTTTCAGACTGAGGTAGAGGGGAATAAACAGGGTTTTGAGACCAGCTGCCTTAAAATGTTATGAAGTAAAAGGAACATGAACAAGGGCCAGAGAAAAGATGTCTTGAAGAAAATGTAGTTTTGTGTTAAAGAGAACCTTGGTTCAAAAGAATTGGAGAAAGGCTCATAATCAAATGTATTATCTCCTCACCAAAGAAAATGGCAAATTTAGGCCATCTTTTTAAATTATCTTACAGAACAAAAGAGACTCACCATGTCAAGAAGAAGAAGGAATTAAGAGTATTTTGGAGACCTCTAATTTTGTGAAGCAAAAGCTAGGAAAGATGAGGGCAGTAAACCTTCAGGCGTAAATAGTAAAAAGGGGGTCAGTGTTCATAACCTCTAAAATATTTTTTACTTACCAACTGGGAAAAAAAAAGAAAGAATTGTCTTTTTGGCAAGCCATACTTCCCACCGAAGTTTCCTGACTGCTGAGCTTCATTCAAATCTCTTTCCCCAAATTCGGGGGAATTAGCCAAATACAACACAGCCATTCTCACAGTATAAGGAAAATGCTACATCTATGTGTAAGGAGAATGGAAATGACTAGTTAGCTATGCTGACAACTACTTAAAGCACTTCAGGGCTCTTATTTCAGTGGCTCCAGAGTGGGAGAGAGATCCCAGACAAGACGGGGGCCTAGGTCTCCCATCCCCATCAAGCCCTAGAGAAGGGCAGTCAAGGAGATTGGCAGAAGCCCTGGGAGAAGGGGGGGTTAGTGCTAAGAGGGAGTGGAAGAGAAAGGCAGGTGCCACGAAGTTGTAATGCTTGGATTCAAGAATTAGCTGCGTCTTATTTTAAGCAAATCCCAAACTCCCCAGGCCCCCAAATCCCCATTTGTAAAATGAGGTGACCCAACTCACTTTTTCCTCCTTCCAGTCCTAAAAATCTACTAAAAATTTTCCGGTCCCTGAGCAAATATCAAAACTGCGTCTGAGGGGAACCATCGGCATCTCAGTAATATTCCACTCTTACAAGGAGAAAGATTGATTAAACAAGTACAGCTTCACTAACATCACTTTAATGCAGCCACTTAAACTAGCCCTGCTTTATTGGGGAGGGGGGTGCGGGGGGTAGGGTGGGGAGTGGGTAAAGTTATGAGGTTAGCACAGGGTACAGAACCCTCACTCGCTAAAGGCCCCCAGGCGTGCTCCCTCACCCTTCCACAACCAGTGCCCTCTGTAGGAACCAAAGGGGTTTTAAAAATACAGATTAGAGACTTTAAGAAGCCATCCTAACCTATACCGTGCCAATAGACTCCATTTACCTCTTTTGGAATGTACTGCCTAAACATCTGCACACATTCTAGAATTAAAAACCCTGGAGGTGAGAGAGGGCCAGAGAGTGGGTGTCACCCTGTCCTGGGGTCTAGGTTTTAAATCACCATGTGCCCTGGAGCGCTCCACTTTATCTCACCACAACTATCCTCAAAAACAAAACCAACACCCCCTTCCAAAAAAACAAAAACAGGCAGCTGTGTTAGGTCAATCTCTGAGACCCCTTCTGTTTCAAGCAATCTAGATTAACAAGATCAGATGACGTACAAACACTCAAGGGCTGTTACAATAAACAAAGAGGAAGGATGATGTGCGGGAATTTTTAGTTAATGGATGACTTTGCGGTAATGAGGGAATGACAAAAGATGAAGGACGTGAAGGAAAGGCCCTTCCGGGCTGAAAATGAAGGCAGCATCCCGCGGAAAAGAAGAGGAGCCCAAAACTGGTGAAAAGTTGGAGGGGCGGCCAATAAACCCCGACCAGGGGCAGCTGCCACCCTCCCCCACACATTTCCCTAGGCGAGGCATCTGCGTTGGTGGCGGGGCGCGCGCGCTCAGTGGCGCGCTGCGTCAACCGCCCCCGCCCCCGGAGGCGGCCGGGACCGGTTGGAGCCGGTTAGAACCGGCAACACCGCCCGCGAGCCGACGCCTCACAAAGGGAGGCGGCTCACGGCCAGCATATCCCTGCGCCGTGCCGGCGTGGGGTGTGGGGATCGAGCCCCACCCCCACCCCCACCCCGGACTCTACTGACCGAGGGTTCTGGAGGTTGTACCTTTCCCGCTCCGCCTCTCCCTGGTTTTTTGTCGCCGCAGTCGCTTTAGCTGCGTGGCAGGCGTGTCTGGAAGCCACCGGTGCCTTTGTGTTTTCTAAATCCTTAGCCCTTGCCCGAGAGACAGGTCCCCCTCGCAGTCGGGAGAATTGAGGCTTCTCTTCAAACATTAGAGACGCAACAGTACTCCTATCTCGGTGCTTCCCTCTGATTTCCCTTTTGGTAGGACACAGGACGTGTTTTAAAAGTGGACTGCTGGTTAACCTGTAGAAAAGGCTTTTGAGTTTGGAAAAAAGATTTCTTTCTGGGCTCTGCTTTTAAAAGTCTTAAGGGAATCAAACCGGAGATAATACAAAGTTTGTGTGTGTGTGGGGGGAAACCTAGTAAACCCTTAAGTAAAGGCTCACAAACATTTTAGAACACGTTCCTTTCCGAGTGGTAGCCGAAGGTCGTTCTGTCTTTGACGGTGAAACCGTTGGCTTTTCCGGATACAGCACACGTTTGGAAAGAACAAAAAGTTCAGGCTAGGTCTAAACAGGCAACCAAAAGTGTAGGGGTCTAGCTGGTATTTAATAAATACAAAATCAACAACAAAAGCCTGAAGCATGCCAAGTAACACAAGCCCACCCTAATGCCTTGATTTGAATCTAAGCCTTTAAGATGGGTCCAGCACTATTGCAGGGACAACAGTAAACGGTGACTGTTGAGATACTTTCCGGAAGTGGATTTCTACAATTACTAGAATTCTTAAGTGGATAACCCAGAGTAACTATATTTTACGAATAAAAGGCCAAATGAGTCGGGTGAGGTATAAACCTCAAAACTACCTCGCAGGACCTGAGACCGTTTTTTGAGGGGGTAGGGGGGAACTCCCAAAACTTTACGACTTCTAAAATGGCTGCGGTCTGTAGTTGTGAGGCTGAAGTTCGGTTACCTAATGGGAAGGAAGGCCGTCAGGAGACTAAGTTTAACCTTCCTTCCAAAACCACTGACATGTACCCAGTGTACTCCAAGGAGACACGAAAAGTATTTTAAAAGCTACTAGAAACATTCCCACGTAACGGCGCTTAGTTATGAGCTATTCGATGTTTATTTAAATGTGATTCTCATTGTTTTTGCCCAAATTTTCAGCTCAAATCTATTTGCTAATAAGTTCTAAATATCTGGGTACAGGGCTTACAAGCAACTTACATAAGGTGTTAGGAAAAATCCAGAAAGTCTTGTAAATGAGATTCTATTTTTACCTCTTCAGAGGAACTATTTTTGCTTGCCTCACAAAGGCGGCGGAGGGGTATTGAATACCGAGGTGTGAGCTGTACTTGTTCTATAAATACGCCGCTGCGGACTGAGCTACAGGCATTGAGGCAGCCAGCGCAGAGGCGGCTTTAAGGGAGGAGATGCAGCTTGAGGAGTCCGCAGATAAGTTTTTCTGCTATAAAAGATAGGAATTAGTGTATTTCTTTAGGGATTGTAAGTAGTGAGAATACGGAGATACTGCTTTGCATTAAGTTCATAAGTTTTAGGGAAAACATGAAGACTTAAAGAGTAGTTGGAGAAAGGAAGAGGAAAGGAAAAAGAATTTTAGAACCTGATGGAGGTTAAGAGCTGAAATTTTTTCACGGAGTGAAAAATTTTTAAGAGAATGGCTGAGGTAGGACTGCAAAGTTTGGATTTTTTTTTTTTTAAAGCCTTAAGTTGAAGGGCAACCTTTTACCTTAACATTAAAACGTTGGGTTACGTAAATCGAACCTAAACGTTTTTAAAGGTTGAGTTGTAGATGATTAAAATATTATAAAGGCCATTTTAAGATTTAACTGAAGGTGGTTTCAGAAATAATGCCTTCAGATTCACGGCGCAGTAAAAATGGCGTCATTTGAAGCCTGCTTGATCACAAGGCCTTGTTTGGCTGAAGTTGACAGAAGTATTAGGAATGGTAGGAAAGAAAATTGGAAAGTAGAAGGGGAAAATTCGGAAGACAGAAGTACAGGAAAGCGAAGAAAAAACTAGAGAAGATAAGAGATACACGTTTTAGAAGACAAAACCTGAGCCTAGGAAGTAGGCAGAAGAAAAAGACAAATCTAGGAGAAAGTTGAAAATACGGGCGAGTGCTTAAGGTAGAATGAAAAGCAAGCTATTGGACGCAAACATATAAGATAGACGTCCAAAAATTTAGAAGATAATTCAAAGTCAATAATGTTGGATAAATTACAGGAACAAAAACTAAGAAATTTTTATACCAATAATTTATTATAAAAGCCCATCAACTTAATTCTGGTGGTGCAGAAGTTAGATCTCAGAAGATGAGGGTTTTTTAAAACTACTGTAGATCAGAACCAACTTAGAAGAATATCCGGAAACTAGAAAGAAAGTCAGTTTCAGATCTCAGGAAAAAGTTACTAAAGGGACCGAAGTAACTTAAAAGCTAAGAATGTGTTAGGAAGAGTTAAAAATATGAAAGGCCTTAAATGCGGTAGCATAGATTATTTTGGCAAATCTAAAGGACTTTATTAAATGAAATTGAAGAGCAAGAATAACCATCGAGTTATTGGACTTTGAGCTAAGATGAATGTTTAAATCCTGAGGATTAGGCGCTAATTAACAGCTGACGCGGGTGCTACACAGAAGTGGATTCAGTGAAGCTAGGAAGACAGCGGCAGACAGGATTCCAGGAGCCCCAGTGTTCGGTGAAATCTAGGACTGAGGAGCCAGCGGCAGTTCATGAAGATAGGAAAGAGAAGCCCGGGAGCCAGTGCGTCTTGGTGAAGGAAGCTAGGAAGAAGGAGCGAGCCCTAACGATTTGGAGGTGAAGCTAGGAGAGGATTCCAGAAAGGAGGAAGCCAGTGCGGTGTGGTGATGAAGCTCGCCTGCGGCTTGGCTTGGCAACCACGCGGAGGCGGCGAGCAGGCGGAATGGAGGATAGATAGAGGATCCTAGAGCAGCAGCCCAGTGTGCGAGCCCTGCAGGGAGAGCCAGTGGTGTGGTAAAAACCGTGAGGTCGGCACTATCGTGGGTTTTTTTTTTTCTCCTGTAACTCTGGTAATATCTCTTAAATTTCCTAATAGTAATGGGGGAGTTGTGTACTTAAGCATAAAGGGTTTTATTACGGGGATGTAGGCCGGTTTTCGGGTGTCGTAGGTTTCTCTTTTTCAGGCCTATTTTCTCATGCATCTTGTCTGGAGCTTTTGAGGGCAGACTTCAAGGCCCGGAGGAATGGTAGATGGCAAGTGTTTTTGTTTTTAACCAATGAGGGATATCCTGAATTTGATAGAACAACTGTGAGACAACTTCAGCAAGCTTTGTAAACAGGTTTTATATTCAGTTTGTGGGTAATGAAGCATTTCAGTTTTGTGAGTAGAGGGTCTACTTTTCTTTCCTCATCTTGTATTTTTAAGTTTTCTAAATAGTAGTTTCGGTGTGTAATTCTTGGCGGGGGGGGAGTTTTTTTGGGGGGGAGCAAAATATGTTTTGAGTTCTTTTCCCTTTAGGTCTGTCTAGAATTCCAAAGGCAAATGACTCAAGGTAACAGGCGAAAAGAAAATCCAGTATCAGGATAATCAGAACACCGCAGGTTTACAGTTTATAGAAACTCTAGGACAAGCAGCTTTCACTTTGAGGTCTGTGGCGCAGCTGTCCATTGGAGAAGTGGCTGGTAGTTTATTCTTTTTTTCCCACCCCTTAATTAAATATTTTTAAAGTATGTAACTGGTTATTTTTACTGAAGTATTTTGGGGTGGTGTGAACAGGGAAGAGGGTGGGGGAGAAACTGTTTTTTTCTAAGATTTTCCACAGATTCTATAGTACTATTGACAAACTGAGTTAGAGAAGGATTGTACTGCTACGCTGTTTGGCACCAACACCTTCAGGGATTGGAGCAGCTTTTTTCCTTGGAAGAGTATTCCCAGTGAAGCTGAAATGTACAGCACAGTGCAGCTTTGGTTCATATTCAGTCATCTCAGGAGAACTTCAGAAGAGCTTGACTAGGCCAAATGTTGAAGTTAAGTTTTCAAATAACGACTTTTAAGATACCTTTATTAAAGGGGAGGGTCAAATTTTGGCAATTTGTAGTTGGCAGTGGCTTTTGTGATGATTGGGATGGGGGGGTGGGTTTAGGTAATTGTTTAGTTTTTGATTACAGATGAACATGCCAGAGAACTTAAATACTTAAGATGGAAAAACTAAAGAAATCTCAACTTCCAAGTTGGCAAGTAACTCGCAATCCTCTGGTTCCGTTTTGCCCCAATTTTTGAGTTTAACAGATGGGGAAGTTCATGAAGATTCACTCGACTTAAGAGTAGGGTTTGGGAAAGGAAAATGACTGGGGGTTGGTCTGGCCCTCTGTGCTGACTTACGTAAAAACTTGGGGAATTTTTTTAAAATGGTAAAGTTGTTTGGATATAGTAGTGTGTGGTTCTCTCTTGGAATTTTTTTCAGGTGATTTAATAAAACTTAATACTACTATAGGAGCTTCAGAGCAAAGGAAGTGGCTTAATGATCCTGAAGGGATTTCTTCTGGTGGTAGCTTTTGTATTATCAAGTAAGATTCTTTTTTCGGCTGTATATAAGCAAGATTGTTCGGTTTATTTTTTTCTGTTTTTAGCGTAGGAAAAGTTTGTTGTTAAGATATGCTTCAAAATTATTGTAAATTGTATTTTGAATTTACATCTAAGTATTGTAAATCATAACTGATAAGAGGGGTGGGCTTTTGTTGATGAGGGAGGGGAAACCTTTTTTTTCTGTAGACTTTTTTCAGATAACATCTTCTGAGTCATAACCAGCCTGGCAATCTGATGGCCTAGATGGAGAGGGGAACAGCTCCTTGGTGAATGATAAGTAAAGGCAGAAAAGATTGTATTTCATACCTACATTGGGGAAAAAGCATAACCCTGAGATCCTTACTACTGATGAACACATTGTCTGCACATGCAAAAAAAAAAAAAAGCAAATGAAAAACTACCAATTTAAAGTTAATGGAATCTACTAC